GTACTTCTACCGCGCTGCGCAGCGCTGCACTGGGTAATAAAAAGAATATACAACCGTTAGTTGGCGTCCTACACAGGCATGACGTTTTTACGAACGGGACTTTGCTCTCTTGTTCTATTTATACTCTTGGAGATCACTCGAAAAAGCTACGCGCACGCAGCTCCTTATTATTGAGAAGGAGATCACTCGAAAAAACTACGCGCACGCAGCGCTATGCAAATGAACCAAGATCAAAGCTGCCGCAGCGCGTGAAGAACGTTTGCGCGATGCCTTTGAAGTCCCATGTGTTCCCCGCCATCAAATTTTCAGCAGNNNATTTTCAGCAGGCATAGTTTACCAAAAAATTGAACATGGCGAAATTGAGAGCACCTTCTTTTCTCGATGCGCACTACATACAGTCAATCACTATGGCTGCGCAATCGTTTCCATTTTGAAGCTGATACATCTATGTCTCATAAAATATCAAACATATTAATATTTTCCACCAAAAAAAGTTTCGAATTTAATGGAACATTTACATGACCTTTAAAAGTATAGTATATTTCAACTTCAATTTCCAAAATTGGCCAAAATTCGCTAATTCTAATTTTAACAGATATTAATTAATAAATAATTGAGGATTATAATAAACTAAGTCATTTTAGGGTTAACGAGGGTTAACTATTTGAAAAATCAATCAAAAATCTGAGTATTTTTTAGTTTTACGCGGACTTAGCTTTATAGTCGAACTAATCAATCTTTAGACAAAATTATAATGAACACAGAAGTAATTTTAACATAAATATTTTACGGAATCCGTTCCTGAAATATACAAATAATAACATATCAAAAGTCCGAAAAAATCTAATCCTGTCTCTTATACACATCTATACTGTACTGTACATCATAGGATTGAATGCAGTTATCTCAATCTGGGCAAGATAAGGTTTTAAAAGAGAGATATCAGTAGCGGATCCTGTTGCTAACGAAAAAATGTGAATTATAGGGTAATACGCCCGCGCGCGATGCAAAAGCGGGGAACACATGGGTTTGTCGCGTCAAAGGGAACTGTTGCCGAGTGATCTCCTTCTCAATAATACCTCCATGACCGGTCCTACAATGTTGGGGACATGTCCCTTCTCTCCCCCACAAGAGTACGTCCATGACTTCAATAGGCCTGGCCTATATCTTTTGACTTATCACAACTAATTCGATGTCAAGCGAAAAATTATACATATGCTTATTCAATACAGATTTTAGAACCCCATAATGCATTTTATCTACAATGCACTATAAATACTAGTTAATCTCCAGATAAATTTATTTTAATGGCCTAATTAATAGTATCTTATTGTTTTTTTTTTTTTTTAAATTAGATATTGTATAATAATGACATAGACCTATTGTAGGCCTATAGCGTTGTTAAAGTCGATCGACTCCGGAGGAAAAACATTTTTGATATGTACAACTGATTTTACAATTTGCATATTTGACGAAAAGCGGTTAATACATATTTTTGAATATTTAACAACTGTCGGAAAAAGGTGCAGTGTTTAGATTAGATATCAAAAATCTGTATTTCATAAACCGTTCCTTTTGTGTCTTGAAAAAAAAAAATCAGTTGTACAACATATCAATTTTCCCTTCTGACGCTGGGAACAGTCACAATAGTGGGGTGGTGGGGGTGGGAGCATGCCATAGTAGAAAATGTAGAGGGGAACTTCCCAAAGTTCCGCACCCGCCGCCATTTGAAATAGGCCTAAGTGTTTTTCTCCACTTGGGTTTCAATTTTAGCTGAATGTTTTGTTCTCAAATAATTTTAATATCTTTATTAGTTACTTTTACATAATGATGCTCTTGAAGATGTTAAAAATGTTAGGCCTAATTTTTTTTGTGGTTGGTATACGATTATTTATAGGAGGCCCTGCTACATAATTTTGAGTTTCGAGAGTTTTTGATTAGATCAAGTTTTATTTTTTTCTATGATAGATAAAATGTTTTTTTGAAATAATTATCTCATCATATGAAAGATTACATGCTTCCTTTCATTCCAACGTTCAATCAAAAACTCTCGAAAACTCAACATTTTATGTAGTGTACAGTACGGTTCTTTCCGCATTTTAGAGATACGTCTTTGTGCAGTAGTATGAGGTCACATCAGGCTTCGATACTACTACAACGATTGTTTTTGTTATGGAAATTTATTTATTTTATCGATCGATCGTGACGACGACGCTGTCATGCATTGCCGGGGTGGAAAAAGCAGTGGTTCTTACTTTTTTACAACACATTAAGTAATGTGAAATATTTTGTATTGTTTCAAGTAGAATATAATGTAAGTATTCAACTTATTGTTAAATTAAAAAGTGTGATGATTGAACCAATACGTAGGCTAGGCTAGCCTAGGCTAGAACAGGGTTTAGGCCTAGGCCTAGGCCAATAATGTATATTTTGGCATATGCTGTGTATAGGCCTGCCTGCTCCTCGGAACAAAATTCATCCAGACCTAGCTAGGGCCTAGGCCTAGGCCTAGGTCCAGTTTCGGCGCCAGCGGGGGAGAGGGGAGCTTAAGTCTCTCCCCCCCCCCCATCGGTCTCG